CTCTTATAAAATGTATTTGCAATGAATAAGTCATTGATTTTACAAAATTCAATCATTCTATCTCCAGCCTCATTCCTGTCACCAAGCCCATGCCTTCCGACAAAAATCCTGATGTTAGAGGAAAAATATTTCCGTGTGTCACGTATCATGTTAGTTACAGCTTTTCATGGATACCCACTATCAGGTCAAGAATGTTCTCTTATATTATTACTAGTTTGGTTTTTCCCTTTTTTGTGTGTGTCCATTAAAATAATCTTGTGGAGTTTGTCCTTTATTCTGTTAATAATTATATATGAACATTCCTTAGTTTAGTTGCTATGTCAAGTCAGAAACTATACGGTTTTTTTGTTTTGTTGTACTCTGCTACCTTAAAGTCCATTGGTCTTATATTTTGAAAGAATCTTTTAAAATTATGTTACATAATCTTGTAACATGATGTGCTAGCTCTTTGGAAAGTAATGGCTCACTGAATTACACTATTATCATTGACAATAGTGGTGGTTTCATTGAAGGGTATTAGGCTCACTTGATTAATTTTAGGAAAATACATATTTAGACATCCTGACTGACCATAGTTGTTCTTTTGGGTATATTCAATGAAAAAGGTATCATCTTTCCTTGAGACAGTCATCTTTGCTTATGTGGCAGATGAGATTTATGTGCTTTCCTATGTCATTCATAAAATATTTAGTGTTTTTTATATATACAATATTAAAAAGGCATGTATCAAAGGATTGAAATTTAATAAAATGATTTTTACTTCATTAGAATTATTTCTAAATGAAATTGACTGTTGTCTTAAATGTGTCAGTGAAGACTGTGATAACTACTGAAAATTTTTGTGCCATCACTTTTATTTATGCTAATATGGCAGCAGTTTTGCGGATCATTTTGAGAAATACTGTTAGAGAGCATATGTGATGTCCTCCTGTTCGCCCTTCCTACTTATTTGTTTTCTTGCCTTTCATCCTTGAACTATGCTGTAGAATTTTCTGTTGTATAAAATAGCTATAAAATATCATCAAGCTTTTTATTTGCCGTTATCTTTATAGTACTTAACTGTTACTTTTAGAACGGCTTTGCTTTTTAGATTCAGAAAAGAGTAATATTTTCAAATAAAAATAAAATATCTTCATTTATTGGGAGGGGAGCTCTGGTGGCATATATGTATAAAGCTCCTCAGAAATCCAGTGGAGGCGTCAGTTCTGAATTGATTCCAATTCAGCAGCATTTTAATTGAGTTGAGTTTACTGGAAGCATAACATGTTAACCTGCTTATTAAAGTAGATCTGTTAGTATCTTTGAGTTAGGTTGGCTGTTACTGATTTAGTTTGGATAAGGGGTAGATGGAAGAAAAAATACCCATCGGAGGGTTGGGACTCCTCAGTTAGATTAAATACCTGTTGAATAGAAAGTCCCTAACCTGACAATTTATTGTAAAACATATCTGTGCTAATGCAGGAACTCCGACCCACCTGGTGCAGAGGAGTCTTGTCTTGACCTGCTTTGGGAGTGTTGTCTTGATGCTTTTCTCTTCCTCCTTGGAAAACAGCTGAAGAAATCAGGGGAGAAGCCCCTGCTTGGTGGAAGCCTGATGGAATATGCAATCTTGTCTGCCATTGCTGCCATGAATGAGCCGAAGACTTGCTCCACCACTGCTCTGAAGAAGTATGTCCTGGAGAACCACCCAGGGACCAATTCAAACTACCAAAGTAAGATTGAGGGTTGTGTGAATTTAACTGGAATAAAGGGAACTTATATGAACTTTATATGAAAACTAAGAAGATTGTGCCATTAGCATCAAAAAACAGTAACTGCTCACTGAAGAACAAGAGAAATAGCTTTACAGATATATCACTTACAGAAAGGCAAGTGAAGATGCTAAAGCTTTATCCTTCATTTACAGTGTTTGCTGAAGATAAAAAGTCTTGTTTCTTTAGCTCCAACTTTTTTTTGCATTTAATTTTATAGTAATTAATAAATCTCTAGGTTCTAAACATCTCTCGTGTATCTCTTTTTGCACACTTCAAAATGTTTATTTGCATAAGTGATACAAAAGCATTTCAGCCATAATCTTAGAATATTTACTACTTTGGTTATTTCTTATCAACTTCCTATTATTAGGTCCAGTTGAGTCACAGAGACTGTACAACAGTGTAAACCTGCCGAGCCCTGTGCAATCCTCAGAGTTACGGCTATGCTTTGACTGTGTCACTACATTTTGTTGAGGGTCTTTTTTTGCTTGCCCTCTACTGTCAGGCATGATGATCTTATCCAGGGACTAGCCTCAGTTGTTAGTATGTCCAGAATATGTGGAAGAACTCTGGTCATCTTTGTTTCTAAGGAACATTCTGACTGCCCTTCTTAATGACTTAAGCCACTAATGTTGGTCCCAAGGCTGTCTGAGCCTTCACTGGATTTCTGAGGATATAAATCATTTTGGGAGGAAACCACCCATCTTTTTCCCACATAGCACCTGATGATCTGCTGACTTTGTGGTTAGCAGCCAGAAACATCAAGCACTTATGACTTAAACCATATAAAATAATTTTTTTCAGAAGAGTATTTTCTTTATGAGGAGTTAATTTGTGATGAGACAATTTCAGCAATATTATAGAACAGTGAGATTGTGTAACTTCTCAGCTACTAAAGTGAAGTAGGCACTGTGTCAGGATGAGGAGTGTGGAAATTAAGTAATAAGATGCAAACATATTTTCAATAAAAAGATTGTCTTAAAGTATTGCTATTGACTTCTAGTGTATTTGTGGTATAAGTTTTTTAAAGTTATGGAGAAATGCTTTCTGGGTTTTTTTTAAAGCTTTACTAACTGTCTTTTTTTTTTTTTTTTGTGGTGAGAAAAATTTATTACATTTAGAATTAGCCCGCTGGACTCAGTTTAGATGATCCCAATTTTGTTGGCAACATCCAAAGCATCATAATCAGGAGCAAGTCGAACATAGGCCTTCTTCTCTCCATCAGGCCTAATCAAAGTGTTGACCTTAGCCACATCAGTGTCATAGAGCTTCTTTACAGCTTGTTTAATTTGGTGCTTATTGGCCTTGACATCCACAATGAACACAAGTGTGTTGTTATCTTCTATCTTCTTCATAGCTGACTCAGTGGTCAGGGGAAATTTGATGATGGCATAGTGGTCAAGCTTGTTTCTCCTGGGAGCGCTCTTCCGGGGGTATTTGGGCTGCCGCTGGAGTCTCAGCGTCTTAGGCCGCTGGAACGTGGGTGACGTGCAGATCTTCTTTTTTTTTTTTGGCTGTGGACGCCTTTCAGGACTGCCTTCTTGGCCTTCAATGCCTTTGCTTTGGCTTCAGTTTTGGGAGGGGCAGGGACTTCCTTCTTCGCTTTAGGCACCATCTTCGTAGAAAGGCTAACTGTCTTATTTTTTGATGGTTTCTTTTTTTTTTTTAAGGGTATATGCTCTGTTCAATTGTGCATATTGACTTTTATATAGTCTATGTTAGGATTTTTCTCTCTTAACCAAGTTTGTTAAATCAGATTCATTTATTAACCTCTACACTTTGATTAGCAGCTAATTTTTTTGACACTTGAATCATCATAGAAAGTATTTCTCATGATTTTTTTAAAAAATAAAAATTGATTAAACATTTAGGACTCAAAATACTATTTTGTAACTGTTGATTTATAAGAAATTGGTTCTCTTTATTATATGTTCTAAATGATTATCAAGCATTCAAAAGATATTAGAATAGATGGAAGTAATGGTAATATGAATTCTAGTCTCCTGTTTACTTCTAGCCATCTCTGTAACTTTAAAGCAACTTTCTTAATCTATTTGTACTCTCATTTTTTTTTTCAAAATGAGAAAATTTGACTCCATGACCTTGAAAGTGTCTTATTATTTAATCTTGTCAAATTTATGAGTATTTAATAGATGTTCAGTGAAAAGATATTTGGCCACTAAAGATTAGTGCATGTCACTTGCTATATGTCACAAGTCATTGAGTTGATGAGCCTCTGTGATTAAAAGAATTATCAGTCTGAATACTACAAAATTTTTCTCTCTTCTGAATTTTATTTTATTTTTTTTCTCAGTGCATCTGCTGAAGAAAACTCTACAGAAGTGTGAAAAGAATGGCTGGATGGAACAGATCTCTGGTAAAGGATTCAGTGGCACCTTCCAGCTCTGTTTTCCTTATTATCCCAGGTAAGCATTTAATCCCAAGTAATATGTATTGAACATTATAAATTTATATTTGAACATAAACTTTAACACATAAACATGGCAGTGTTTGGGAGAATAGAACACGTCATTTACAAGAACAGTTTTGCTATACTGGAGAGCTTCTTAAGACCAGCATTTCTTAAAACCAGGCACGGGATTCTTTGAGATTCTTGTCTATCTTTTTGATACTTTTTTCCTTCATAAAGTAAATGAAAATGGCAGAAAGAGTTAGAGGATTACATGTCTGTTAATTTTTACTGTCCAACACAAAATAAAACTTGGACTTCTTCCAGAAGTATTCTGCCTTCTTCATATTGTAGTTCAGCAATGAATGAATGAAAATCCAGTCTGTCTGTAAACATTGTTAAAATCACAATAAAAAAATAAAAAGATGCAAGACTAAAAAAGATAAATAGGAATATCTGTATGCGCTGGTCTCTAGTTTTATTACCGTATACTTTCATCTCCAGTAAACCACTTTACAGATACCACTGAGATTGTATTTTTCGCATGAGGATAGTATAGTTGTTGTTGTTTTGTTTTGTTTTAAATTTAGGTTGTTTATTTTTCATTTCAATGAACATCTCCAGAGATTTTGGGATTCCATTCATTCATTGTTGCACCCTTCTCCCCACACAAACCCCTCCCCCCTCCCCCCCCCCATTTGCTCCTCTCCTTGAAAAGCAAAAGAAAAACTCCCTCATTGGTACACAATACCCCCCCAACACCTCCCCAAACCCCACCCCCTAGCCCCAAATATAATCCACTCTACAACCCTCATTGCATACTCCTACGATAAAAATAATGCCCTAGATAGTATAGTTTTGAATCAGGAGTTCTGCCATCAAGAACAAAGATGACTTAGAATCTTGATAACCTTTTCTAAAGCTTTGAAGAGATTCAAGTCTTGCAGTGCTTCAGACATTTTTGCGAGGATCATGAGAGCAAAAAGTAGGCTCCACTGTGTAGACTGTTCACTGCTCATTGGCGCATGTGATGCCATATAATCAGTGCCTTAAAAGTAAAAAGCAGTTGCAGATAAACTATTAAATGGAGGGAAATGGAACTGAGCTGTGGTCTGGGACATCCATTGATTTGTTACCAGTTTGTGGGAGTTTTTTAGAGGGCTTGGGTTTGGTTTTTCATTTTTTTCCATTGTAAAATAATTCTGTTGACACTTCTGGGGAGCAAGATGAGAAATGTCTTGAGGGATGAGCTTCTATGTTCATATTTTTCCATACCTTTGATGGTGGTGTGGTGTGGGGTTTTTTCCTTTTTTATCTTTCTATCTGTTATTACTACTACTACTACTATTCTGTTATAGCCCAGGAGTTCTATTTCCAAAGAAAGAGTCAGAAGATTCTAAAGAGGAGGATGAAGATGAAGATGATTCCTCAGAAGAAGACGAAGACTCTGAAGATGAAGAGCCACCTCCTAAAAGAAGGTGTGTCAGGAGGAATAACCCTTCTCCTGGGGAGGGTAGAAGTGTAACAGGAAAGGATACTAGTAGGTGAGAGGCTGAAGGTGGAATATCTTTTAAATGTCTGGTAATCTTAAATTCTTTTTTGACATTTGGACGACTTCTTGAAAATTCACAGGCTCTAAACCTAATGAAACACTAACCATGTAATTTTCTGTATCTATAGTCATAATTTGAGTATTCAAATAGAAATGGTCCCACTTTTTTTTCTTAAAAACATCATAGAATTGTGTAGATTTCCCTGAATTGTTAAATTATTATTTAATTTTAATAATTTAAATATCAATTTATAATTATTTAACAGTAATTAAATAACAATTATAATTTAATAATTCCTTTTGACTCATGGTAGCTAATAAACAGCAAATCATGTTCCTAGTCATAACAGAAGTGATTTCTTCCTATACTGTTTCTCTTTTAGCTTATTTGGTTTTTCTGGCAAAGTGTATCTCATATACTAAGTAGTTCTTTCCCCTTGGGTTCTTACAGGTTTCAGAAGAAAACCCCAGCCAAGTCCCCAGGGAAAACGGCAGCCATGAAGCAGAGAGGCCCCAAACCCCCAGTTAAAATTCCTGCAGCCCAGAGAGGAAAAGCTAGGCCCCTGCCCAAGAAAGCCCCTTCCAAGGCCAAAACTCCTGCCAAGAAAGCCAGACCCACACCCTCAGTCATCAAGAAATCCAGTGGTAGTTCTTCAAAGAAGCCTGCAGCCAGTGTGAGAAAGGAAGTAAAATTGCCTGGTAAGGGCAAATCCACCATGAAGAAGTCTTTCAAAGCAAAAAAGTAACTTTTCTAGGGAAAGAAGGTATCATAATGAAATTCAAATTTTTATTTTCTAAGGTCAGTGTGCATTTGTTTTACTTTTGATGCTTATAAAATTACTTTCCTTCCCCACCCACCCCCAAGAACATTGTGGTGAGGGAATATAAATAAACCAATTTAGGCATTTGGTTAGCTTTAGGTGCTGTTCCTGATGCCTGCCCTTCCCCTCAGCTATTTTAATTTACACTATTGCCCTGAACTTTCCTTAACTATACTTGCCATATTCTCCCTTTCCTAGCCCCTTTCTTTGCTTTGCTTTTTTTTTTTATGCTCAGCTTTAGTTCTCCCCAACATCACCTTCTAATTTTGTGTTACTAGTTGAAGAGATTTTTATATTGTAGAAAGCATCATGAACAGGATGCTAGTCAGGTGCTAGAAGTAAAAAAGAACCCATGCAGCCCTGACTAAATTATAAAGCCTCCTCACAGGAGACTTTAGTCATAACTACAGTAATTGGTCTTATTTATAAAATCACTCCACTAACTTCTCTCCAACTGTAAACACAGAGATAGCTTTGGGAATATAAGCCAAAAAGATGATCTCAATAGATTTTGAAGATGAAGGACTCCTTTAGGCCACTTGTCACATTGATTAACTTGTAGGTACTGTTGTAAGCCCGTGACATTATGTTCACTCCTTTAACAGCAAGCACACATTCTCTCCACCACTTTTTTTTTCTTTTCTTTTTTCCTTTTTTCAGAAGGGAAGTATAGGACTATACTAGATTTGATTTCTGGTGTCACCTATGTTACCAAATACCAAAATAGAGAAAATCTACTTGATCAAATGTTTAAATATATTTTTTAATATTTGGAGCATGAATTGTCACTTCCTGTTTGCCTTTTTTATAGGGAAATGTTGGAGAGTTACATCATTGCTAATGTAGAATTGTTAAGTAGGAAAACAGTTTGCTAAAATAAACTAGATTCCAGATACATCTGTGGATTTTTCTTCCCTCCTTTCCACAGCACTTTTGATATTAAGCAAGTGGCTTCCTTTTAAGGTATTTTAAAAAAACAAACAACCAAGGGGAAAACAGTTAAGCCCAACTACCTAACCCTTCCTTACTTGTATTTGTTTTAGTATTGTGAAGTTGTGTTGAATAGTACTAGCTTTCTTCTTGCAAAATTTCTGGTTATCATTTATCTTCCCTGTGACACTTGACATTTTAACTGTCTTAAACTTTTTGGTGTACATCTTCTGGCCCCTTATTGCTGCCAGAGGCTAAAAATATTTGTTTCATATTCATTCCATTACATTGTCTTCTGGGATCCCTTCGCAGCCTACACTGTGGCTGAGAAATGGACTTGAGAAGATTGGCTTGAATTAGATCCATAATCATGTGTGATCCCATCATGAGTTCATTGAAATTTGTGTTGCATGTAAGGCAATCTTTCCTGTTGTAAATCTTCCTTTTTTATGTACATATATTTTGAAAAATATGAATAAACATGAACTTTTAAAAGCTGCTGAACTAGCTTATTTTAAAGCTTCTAGTTTCTCCCTTTCTTAGTTAAATGTTGCCCCTACTTTGAATGTCTACTTCTTGGAATAGTAAAATGACATCCATTCTCCATTTTAATACAAACTTCAAATTTGCGTCTGAATTTTTCTATTGATGGTAATGATGTTTCTGGTTATGATAATACTGATTATTTTATGAATCAAAAGTTTTAAAAAATAATACATTTTCATTTTACTGAGTGCTATACCAAGAATAATTAATGCCTTTGAATTGTGGGGTTGGCAAAGAGTATTTCAAAAAAAAGGAACAAACCTCTCTGGAAGAAAGTGCAACCAGAGTGCTGCTTAGAGGCAAAGATAGTGAAAGAAACTGTCTCACATTATTTGTGCGTATTGTCAGGGTCCGTCCGTGAAAAAAGATAGCATTCAGGAAGAGGTATGAGAAAAAAAGAGATAACCCTCATCAAGATGAATTGATACAATGACATTAACAGTGGGCTTAATCATATCACACAGGGAGAGAATGATACAGAATAGGCCAGGGTTCAGATCTCCTGTTCATAGGCTCTCTACATGAGTCATAGTTGACTCAGTGGCAGCTCAATGACAACATAATCAAGAGCATAGACCCCAGTTTTTCTTGGTTTCAGTCTATGTTCATAGATTATTAAAAAAAAAAAGCACTGCAAAGATTGTCCTTAATAATGGATAAGTCCCACCACAACAAGATAAAGGTAAATAATCCAATAGAAAAATGGGCACAGGATATGAATAGACACTTCACCAAAGATGATATTCAGATGGCTAACAAGCACATGATGAAATGTTCAAAATCACTAGCTCTAAGAGAGATGCAAATTAAAGCAACTATGACATATCATCTCACCCCAGTCAGAATAGCAAAATTTAACAGAACAGCAAGCAACAAATGGCTCACGAGGTTGTGGAGAGACAGGAACCCTTATTCACTGTTGGTGGGAGTGTAAAATGGTGCAACCACTGTGAAAGGCAGTGTGGCACTTTCTCAAAAAGTTGCAAATTTTGAGAAAGCGCCACACCGCCTTCCACAGTGGTTGCACCATTTTGACCCAGCAATTCCACTACTGGGAATATACCCCAAAGAGACCATAACTGACATCTAAGCAGATATATGCACACCCATGTTTATCACAGCTTTGTTCACAGTAGCAAGGAGTTGGAAACTACCTAAGTACCCATCAACAAACGAATGGATAGAGAAGCTGTGGTATATTCACACTATGGAATACTATGCTGCATTGAAAAACAAGGAACTCATGCAATATTATTCAAAATGGGTGACTCTGGAGGATATTATGCAGAGTGAAGTATCTCAGTCACAAAAGGATAAATACTGCATGGTGCCACTGTTGTAAAACAGGACTGACATCAGGGTTGAGAGGAGACTGAGAAAGATGGGATAAATTATGTATACAGCGTTGAAACAGATAAGGGAGAAAACTGTTTAAAAGGGATATGTGATTAGATATTTTTGTCATGACAGGAGTCCAGAGGGAAGGCTACAGAGTGGAGTAGACCTGGGGGAGGGTTTGTAAAACAATGAAAGAATTTTACTTTTCCAAGAGGGTAATGTACTAGGGGGGAGGGTTGGGAAGGGAGAAAAGTACAATGAATGAATGGAAACCCAAAGTCTCTGTAAATTTTCATTGAAATTAATAATAGATTAAAAAAAAAGAACTGTGAACAACACCAGATCAAAGGGGCAGCATTTTCCCGGGGACAAAGCTCAGTAGGCAGGAAATGGTAGGATTAATGGAAATGAGAATTACATGGAAAGAGGGGGAAGAGTTCCATCGGTTGTATTATAATTAACGTCAGAAAACAAAATGTATGAATGATGGAATGGAAAACCTATTTGCTGTGTAAACTTTGACTCAAGTTACAATTTTAAAAATGTCATTAAAAAAATACAAGTGTTTCAAGTAAAAAAAAAATGGACAAGTCCATAATAATAATGTAATAATAATGGACAAGTGAAAAGACTATACCTAAGACCAAAAGTTTGGCAGACCACAGTTTAAAAAAATGTGATAAACCCTAAATGACTAGAACGTAATTCTAGTTTCCATGTGTGCACTTTGGCAAATTAATATTTCTTAATATTATTGGTGCTTAGAATTCTCTACTCTTAAAAGTTGTATGATTTTAATTGATTCCTTTGTTTTCTATTACTGCTCTTTAGATTTACAAAATAGCCCCTCAGTGGCTACATAATACATAAGGATCTTTTCCCTCAGATGTTTTTGACAGAACAGAATGTAAAATGTTTACTTAATGTTAGCAGACAAGAGAACTGCAACCCCACAAATTTTTTTAACGTGCCCAGCCTTCTTGAGCTTGGATTGATGACCAGCATTCTCTTGGTGGCTTAGTGAACTCAATTAAAGTTTTCACTTTGTGAAACTGCATAAAGGCAAACTTTGATAGGAAACTCATACAGGAGTGAACTACTTAACCTACAAATAGAAAATTTTCATTACAGAGAATGGTTAAGAATAGAAAAGCGTATAACACAGATAGAACCTAGTGTAACCATTCACAGGAAATTAATGAAAGGACCTCTGCCCAAGTATAAATTTTAGGAAACCAGGTATAATTTTAATCATGTAGTGTAACCATTCACAGGAAATTAATGAAAGGACTTCTGCCCAAGTATAAATTTTAGGAAACCACGTATAATTTTAATCATGTCTATTTGCTATAATTAACGGGATTACATGAAAACAATAGCTGGAGGATGCCACATGCTGTTGATATTTTTTCATCACTACTTTTTTTTATTGAGATTTTAATGAAAGATTATAGAGAACTTGGATTTCCATTCATTCATTCATTCATTGTTACACATTTCATCAGTACTCTTAAGGAGCTCTGGTAAACTGTCAGTTAAGTTGTACTGCAATACCAAAGGCACGCAGTTCTAATCCATCAGCTGCTCCATGGGAGAAGGGTGGAGAGGCTCCTCTTACGTGGTTTACTCCCTCTGAAAACTCACTGGAGGGTCAGTAATGGGTCCGTTCTGACTCAACAGTAGACAGTGACTTGCCAGATTGTGCCAGGCTACTTTGCTAACTTACTAAGGGTGTCCCTTAAGTTTCTCAGATGGCTGAATTTTCTGGATATGATGCTTGGTTAGTAATCACTAGCTGGAATATTTCAAATTGTTGCTTTATATTCTTGATTCTGAAGAAATCTTACTCTATGCTATCTTTGATTTTGGTTATCTAATATTGACAGATAATTCCTAAACCCACACAGTTTCACATCATCCTTGATCACACATTTTACTCCCTAAGAATTTTTGTATGTGCTAATGAAATTCTTCTGTCAAACCTGAATTCCTTATGTTAGTTGTATAATACAAGAATAGGAGGAAGACTAAACAGGCACTTCCCTTGTGCAGCTTGCTGAATCATGCTTGCTGAAGATGAGAACTTGAAATGCTGCAGAAGGTCAAAGACTACAGCCCTCAATATAGATTGTGTCTCAAGAAAAATTCTCACCTCAGGACAAATAAGTGACATTGTGGTGGATGAGGGAAAGATGCAAATTGTGAACAATCTCAACTTGGATCCTCAACGCCTTTGGTACCAGCACTCTGGACATCTGGAGACACAAAATTTTTTTCTGTCAGGGACCTTTCCAAATTACTGAAGGGTAATGATGTCAGTTTGAAGACT